AATGTGGAGGAAACAATAAAGAGAATAAACCATAGAAAAAGAGAAAAAATCACATTTACTGCGTGATCGCTTCTCTTCTCCTATATGAAGAATTTATGATAAAAATTATTGTAAAAATAATATAGATTGGTATAATATGGGTAATATAAATAATAAAGTTACTATAAGGAGAATAATATAGAATTTTTTGTAAGCCAAGAATAAAATTCTGAGTAAGATATTCTGCAATAATTTATTATTCTTTCATTTCATATGTGCTATTTATATCTCAGCAACTGAAATGTGCTATTGTTCCGTCTTACTAAAAAAAATTTGCCGTGTTCTTCTCTCAGCAAGATAAACCTCACTAACAATCTATTCCTGCATCATTAGAAACATAGTAAAATTGAAAAAAATTTCTATGTGAAAACAAAAAAACTATATACAGGGTGGCGCCAAACGTTCCAGCTAGGCTTAGAAATCTTGTAGGAAACGTAATTCTGAACAAAAAATTTTCTATAAACATGGGTCGAAAAATGCTTCCTTAAGAAGTTACCGCCCAACTCAGATGCCGATTCAGCAACCCAAAAAAACTCTAGAATACCAAGTTTTATGCAAATCGAAATTTATCGTAGTTATTCAATGTGCGCGTCATTACCAGTTAACTGGTTAAAACAGGTTATTTCAAGATTTATGAAACGTAATAAAAATATTTTTGCCTCATTTCAAAGAAAATTTACTCTACAACTTTGGTTTCCATACTTTAAAAAAAAAAAGCATACTTACCTAGATATTTGAAAAAATGTTTTTTAAAAACGTAATTTTAAAGGAAACGTAATTTTAGAGGAAACGTGGTGGTTTTGGGCGGTAACTTTTTAAGGAAGCATTTTCGACCCATGTTTATAGAAAATTTTTTGTTCAGAATTACATTTCCTACAAGATCTCTAAGCTTGGCTGGAACGTTTGGCGCCATCCTGTATAATATTCTCTCCCTGCATCAACGTAGACGATCAGACAAAGAGAGCAGCTCACTCTCGATTACTGTTTCTCCCTCTATCTTTCTCTCTTACTAATGCCGACTCCAGCTTATCAGGGCAAGTGTGCGGTCTATTTCTGCAAGTGTATGGCATGGGTGAGTGGACGTTCCGTAACTTTAATGCGGCTGTTTCGAGCGTGAAAATTGTCGCGGGCGCGGCGCGGCGCGGCGCGGTGCGACGCGCTTTCGGGATGGTCGACACATGATATTGAAGCGATGTCGGGCCACTATTAGCCGGGTTTTATTGGTACACGAGCCAGCCGTGTGCCGGCTGACCTACGACCGCCAACAGTTAATCAATGCTTTTATGAGCATTCGCTTGGCAGTACACCGTCGTTTCAAGCCGCGGCCCGTCCAGCCGAACCCACCCCCGCCTCCGCCCACCCTCCCATCCGACCAACCAACCACCCAGCCACCCACTCATTCGCCCAACGAACGCGACATGCTTTCCTCTCTCTCTTTCTCCCTCCTCTCTCTCTCTCTCTCTCTCTCTCTCTCTCTCTCTCTCTCTCTACATGCGCGCGTGTGTTGTATGTTCGCGCGTGCTCTTCGAGCAACTAGCCGAAATTTGCACCGCCACGAGGCGCCGCGCGCGCTATCCGTTAAACGAGCGAACGATTACGCCGGTCGACATAATGTGTTATAACGCGAGAGTGTCGTGCGTCGATGTGGAGATCGAGTTCATTGTACGATCACGATCAGAATCATTTCGAGTCTTCACGTGCCGCACGCGTACGCACGGAAAGAATCGGGATCGCTTATTGACAGTGAATTCGGCCGCATTCCGGCCAATGCTCATCACATTCGGCCGATTGCGACCGAACGTTGATAATTGACTTGGTTCGCGCGCTAATAAACAATTCGATATGCGTTAGGTCATGTAACATAAATTGCGCCGGGTCTCAATTTGATTAATGATACACCTTCGTGAGCGCGGGCATCGAATGATTAGGGCGAAATCCCATTAGCTATTTTGATTCCTGGAAATTACGGCCTTATGGCGATTGTCTTCGATCCGATCGATTTAAAAGGGATAGGACCGGATGAGCTTGCAATCCAAACGTGGCTGCAGCTAAACAGCCGCTTTTGGGACCCTTGCGCCATCGCGTTGCCTCTCTCTATCTTTCTCTCTCCTCTGTTCCTCCTCTCTCTCTCTCTCTCTCTCTCTCTCTCTCTCTCTCTCTCTCTCTCTCTCTCTGTCTCCCTCCCATCATCTGTCCGGCTCACCCACGGCTATTTATTTTTCTCATCGCTTTTAATTTCGTAGAGATAACATAGATGCGTATCGGACGGTAGTGCTCGTGCACGTACGTACGTGCATACACAACACACACATACACACACGTGCGCGCATGCATGCATACAGTCCCGCCAGCCATTGTGCGCCGCGCTCCCGAATGGATGTTTCGCGCCCGCTATCGCGATCGGATCTCGCTTGTTGAGTTTATTAATTGCGTTATGGGAAGTGCCGCGTTCGCCGAGCGAAATTGAAAAAAATTGTCCGCTCGCGCGCGCTGACCTCGGCGAGATTTCATCTCTCTCTTTCTCTCTTTCTCTTTCCCGCCCCCCCTTTCTCTCTCTCTCTCTCTCTCTTTGCGATGAAATTTTACTAACCCTGCTTCTGCGTCTACACTTTTACTTAATTATGCGTCGCAAACTCTGACATCCTTCACTAAACTACAGAATTAGTGTTACTCTAAGGGATATTGAACCCCCCACGGTGTTATTAAACTCTATTCTCTGCTCCACTATCTTTCATTCCGTCTCGCTTTCTTTCGCATTGCGCGATTCCGATAAAGCTCCGGCAGCAGTTCCAGCCTTTTATAATTCGTCGCGCGACGTTCACGGCCATATTTAGGCGAACGCAGATCGCGCGCGCGCGGGGAGAGAGTGCGAGAAGGCAGGCGGCCAGGGGGCGACGAGAGGCGCTGCGGGGGACTGGCTCCAATCGTAAAACAATTATACAATTACCGCACGGCCGTAATTAATTGCCGGCCGTTTCAACGTTTACCCCGACGAGCGGCGAGAGAGCGCAAAGCGCGGCGCGGCGCGGCCGGCTGCAGGTCCGCGAACGCCACGGCATTAATTCATTAACGTTGCACCGTGAAACGTATTTGCCCGTAAAATTGGTCGGCCGGCGTGTTCGCGATTATTTGCTTAAACAATTTCCGAACGTCGATCGACGCCGCCGCCGTATGACGTGATTTAACGATTTCCTTCTCTCGACGTCGACGGCAATAACGTTCCCTGCCTCTCTCTCCCTCGCGCTCTCTCCCCGTTCGCTCCTCCGCCCGCTCACTCTCTGTCCCCCGATGATAATATATCTGCGAAATAAGCGCGTCCCAACGGACACCCTTCAAAGCGCTATCGCGGAGCACAAAGAGTGCGCGCGCAAATAAACCAATGAATATTGTATATGCCCATTTATCGCTTCCGGATGTTTTCAGCGCGAGATGTTGTCAACGCCCGGGCGTATCTGAATCTGAACGATATCGCGCGAGATTATAATATTATCAGTCGCCTTTTCTGCATACCATTAACAATAATAAACAAGCAATTAATAACGTATCCATCTCGTCGACAATATTTATCAAATGCGGCAGGATTCACGCCGCGCTTTCGGGAGGCGAGTCTAGGGGTTGGTGCGGCGCGTAAAGCAAGACACGCACACGGACCCCGCGCGCGGAGAATTGGAAATCGGTCAAGAAGCGACCGGATCGAAATCCGATATCGGGAATGAAGACAACGCGAGCGAGTGGCCGACCATTTACGTAAAGGGATCGCACGATATTGGCACCGATATCCCCGGTATTGGTGACCGCCACCGCAGGCCGCAACACGACGGTGCAGTCGCAGTTAATTTGCTCACTCCAAGTGTGTTTGATTCCCCTAATTAATTGATCGGTAGGGTCACCGTGTGCCAGCGCATATACGGATGGCAGTAATCAAGCGCGTGGCCCTCGCTCCACCAAGAGTACGCGCGGCGCGCATATGTATGTATGTATTTGCGTGTACGCGCTCTATTTGACATAACCACGTCTGCGCCCGTACACTCGGACTTGTGCCGCGCCAGAGTTTCGGTCGAGAGGCGCGTTCCCTCCACCGTCGAGAGGAAAAATGTGCATCGCGGTCGGATTTGAGAAACTGAAACGTCGGTGAAAAATTTACCCAGTCTGCCTGACGACTCAAATGTTACCGTTTCTGAAAACATTGGTTTTGTCCTTTTACTCTCTCCTACTTTTATCGAATCGCAGAAGTCTTAACAGAATCATGCTCCTCGACAGTCTCTAGCTTGATTAAAAAAAGAATATTAAATTTCGATAATTTTATCAGGAGTTTTGAGCAAAAGAAAATGCGCTGGATAAAGTGTTTAGGCTTCACGTAATTTTTTGATATTTAGGGGGTTCTAGAGGATTCATTCCTTCGTATTTTATGGAACATGCAGTGCAATCTCGGTCTGTCCGAGCCGGAAAAGTTCGATCTACCATACATATATTATATTAAAGTTAATAAAAAAATCTCAGCTGTAAGATAGCGGCGCAAAAATCAAAATCCGCAAACAGATCCGCGCCATCTTTAAATTTTCCCGAATCATTCACGAAAGTTGCTGAGTGATCGAACATTTGTTGGGCTCTCACAGACTCAACATTGCACACGAAGAATTAACAGGTCGAATCTCACGATTATACCTCTCGAAGAGACGTAAACTTGTCTCTTTTTACATTTTAATTAACTCTTCCTTTCGCGCGGAATTATAATAAAAATTATTCAACTTCTAACGCGTAGGGTGAAAGATCAACCAGCGCGAGAACTGCGTTGTGTGCGGATTCACCGCAATTATATCTTCAACGCGACGTAATCGTCTCTTTGGACACTTTAATTGGTTCTTCCTTTCGTGCGGACTCGCAAAAGTTATTCGCCATGTTCTAATGCGCCGGGTGAAAGATCATCCGGCGCAAAATAACTGTGTTGTGCACGAACTTACCGAGATGTCCGTTCTCGTAATAGTCGCCGTTGTCCATTCTGTGCTTCTTCAGGGAGTGCTGGGGATGATGACCAGCCGCCGCGGCTAGGTGGCTGGCTGCGAGGCTCAGTCCAACGGAAGCGCGCTTTGGGGGTCTTCCTGGCCTGGAGCTGTACAGTGGTAGAGAGTTACTGTGGTTAGAGACACCTGTCATCGAGGTAACGTCTTACCCCGACCGTCGTGGTCACGACATTCGTCGCGACCGATTATCTGCTGGAATTTCGGGAGGAGATATCAGCGCCGTCGCGCGTACGTAAACGAGTTTCGCGATTCGTTCGCTGCGATAGCGATCCTGCCAGCCGATCAGGTACGGCGAGCAAGATTGAAGAGGCTGGAAATGCGAACTGTCAATGATAACTACGGAGTGCCGTGTGTATTTGCAGCCGAAGCTGTCGCGTGAAACGACACGAACGTAATGAAAAGAAACAAGGAGAAAAGAGAGAGAGAGAGAGAGAGAGAGAGAGAGAGAGAGACAGAGAGAGAACGTCGTACCGACTGGTCGCTGATATTTCCTCCGGGAATGCGTCTTATTTGCAATGCCTCGAGTGGCTCTCTCGAGTACAGATTTCGAGATTACTCGAGAGAACTCGGGAGGAAAGGAATCTCCGAAGGAGGCGCGCCGCCGCGCGAGAACCATTAAAGGAGCACCCGGCTCACTAGCCGAGGAACCAATTTGGTAACCTTAATGGCTAATCTACGTAGATCGTGCGAACGTTTCGAGAGCGGACTCTTACGTGACTAAGGGAAAATGGAAATCCTGCAGGAAAATAACGCGCGCACAGCGGGCACGTTACGACGAGCGAATTTGCGGCGCCACTTTTGAGCGCGTCACTGATTATTGCTCTTGAACTGTGCAAAGCATAAATTAAAACTGCTTATATAGCCAATTTAATCAGGAAGTACCGAGAGAAATTCCCCCCCAAAGCCGAGGACACTTAAATGTATGCTTCATATCGCGAGAGAAATTACGCGCGAATCCTTCTCGCTTGTCTCATACGTGACGCAAGTCCATGCGTCGCATAATTTTGCCCGAATTTTCAAGATCGACAGTGTTGTTCTACAGTGTCGGGGTCTTCGTGAGCTGCAACAGCTACTCTCGAGAGGCTGGCGCTTCAGGATCACCCGCTGCTGAGTGGCCGGCGTTTTCTTTTGATGAGCGTCACTGGCACCTTTCGAGCTTTGTCGGCAGCGAGCCAGACGAGGAAGATCTCCGTTGAAACAATCTGTACGATAGTGGCGATGATACTGGCGCGCGGTCGGGAGGGAAGTCCATTTTTCATAGGCGGCAGGCGCCAGAGAGGCGCTCAACGCGCGCGCACACATACACACATGCATACATACACACACACACGTGCATACGCACCGTCTCGTCACCGCGACACGACGCGTGAAATACATGCAAGCTACACAAGCCCGCCTTTTGCTTTCGCGAGGAAATATCCGGGACTCGTTGTGTTACCGGCACGGAGTCCTTCCTTTATTCTCGATATAGCACCTAACTGTTCGCGGACGTTCTCAACTTCCCCAATCGAGACGATCGCGTTTTCCAACGCGTCCGAGCAGGAGCCGAGCCATTCAGCTGGATCGCTATCTATCGAAGGCGCGTGCCACGATTGAAGCACGATTTTCCAGATGCTCCAGACAACGTCGTTCCCTTAATCACGCTTGCGTACGTTTTATACGACCGCACTGCCTGATAATATTTCCCGAGTAGGATCGTTAGAGCGTAACGAGACGGCGGCGGCGGCTGAGCACCGCTAACCGGTAAGCGAGCAATCTCATAGTAGTCAAGACAGATTTGTAAATCTAATTTTTCATCCCGTCTTTCTGCCTGCCCTCTCTCACTTCGCCTCTTCGTTGTCCGGAATCTTCCTCATCTCTCCTCGTCCCGGTATCTCTCCGTCTCTCTGTCTCTCTCCCTCCCTCCCTCTTCGTTCTCTCCGTCTCGTCCTCCTGCCCACTATCCCTCCCCTCCCCCACAACCCTCTCTCTGTCCCTCCGACGTTCTTTTTCGCCTTGCTACTTGTCTCTCGCTCTATCCTTTTTTCACTGCCGCCTCTCACGCACGGGATCCCCAGACGATTCTCAGACGGCCGGTTTATACGGCGTTGATCTCTTAAACCGCTTAGCTTCAGGTTACACCGAAAACACGAGCGCACTTTCTGAGCGCTTAGACCCGCATAATGCGCATTTGTTTGCGTACATACGTGGCGCGCGATCAGCGAAATAAGAAAAGGGCGCCGCGGTGCGTCACGAGGTGAACGAGTTGCAACGCGGCGAATCGGAAATCTAAGGGAGAATTCACACTTGGCAGGACAAGCGGAGAACAGACGGGTAAGAGACAAGCAGAACTTGCGCTGATAGATAAGTGAAAACTGTCGACTACCCCGCCTGACCACCAGCGTCAATACTGCCTTCCTATTTTTTGCTTTTCTGCCAAGGTGCGAATCCTCTCTGACACGATTGCTCGCCACTTTTACGAGAGGAGCGACGCGTTCGACAATTTGCGCTGTCGCATACCTGTTTCGGTCGATAATTCGTACCGATCACGCACGCACGCACGCACGCACGCACGCACGCACACACACACACACACACACACACACACACACACACACACACACACACACACACACACACACACACCTCTGTGAATGAATACGGCACGAGCAAAGCCGCCTCAAACATCACGTGCACGCGCGCAATGTCCGATTGTTTCTCTTCATGAGCTCCCTCCCGCAAACGAGTCGGATATTTACGTAATATCTCCAGCATTACGTGAATATAGTGACGAAACAATGGCAAACGGGGCAACGACAATCGGGCGTGGACCGTGGTTGGTTGGCCAAGGGATCAAGAGATCGCTAATGATCGCGCGTTGCGGCAACCGCGCGACGATCGCGCTACCGATTCAAGCCGGATTGATCTTTTATATCGTGGGTATTATTCCGTCTTCCGGGGCGAACGGGGATCAAGCGTTTGCCAACGCCGCATCGATCGTGATTACTTCGCCGGTGATAAATGACTTCTCTTGGCGCTGTCAGTATAACAAGAATATTTCTATAGTCGGGTATCCAAACTCGCGGGCACTAACCTTCGGATACCCGTGTATCCGTATTTACGAGTATTTCCCGGACAATTGGATAGTATAAACAGTTACGAGTATGTAGTGTCGTTTATATTTGAATAAAAGGTATGCAGAATATCTTTTATTTTCCAAATAATTACGAAATAGTAATGCAGTTTCTGCTTTGTTATTATTAGAGACGTCAGTAATTTAAAAAATCAGATGTATCTGAAATGAATCACTTGGGTATCCGGCTAGGAGAAGACGGATCAAGTTCGCCCAAAGATCATATTGATCACACAAACAACTTCAGTTCGGATAGCCGAATGAAGACCAGACGAAAATCTCGCTCTCGCTGAAATAAAAGCTAAAAAAAGTACCAATGCTCGGACGCATACCTGATCATAGATATTTTTATTGTTTTGGTTCTTAAATACGAACATTTAAGCTTTCAAAATATTATATATATATATATATATATATATATATATATATATATGTACATACACTGAAAATATATACAAACAACTCCATTAGTGCGATTAAATTTTCCGTTATCTGAAAACCAGATTAGACAGGAACTGTAGCAACAGAAAGATTCCTGTAGAAGATTTCCACTCAGCTCTCGATTACCTAGATCCTGTTTTAATGAGCTAAATATTCAGACGAATTGTCAATACAAAAATAAAATTTCTCTTCAGCAAGTTTTTCGTCTGATCCCAATTTACTTACACGAGCTGAAATTTGTTTCCCGTGTCACTTATATTGTATATATAAAGTTTAAATATTCATATTTAAAGACCAGAACAATTAGAATATCCATGACGAAGTTGGTGTCCAGGAATTGGAAAACTCTTCCCTTACTGTGAGAGGAAAATCGAGAAAAATCGCGAAATCCTTTTGCAACATAAGTACTTTTCCCATCGTTCCAAAAGGAACATTTTGTGCGATTCTTCCCTTTCACTCTCTCTCACAACAATAAATATTTAAACGAATCGCATGTTCGACACGACCCTTGGGCCAACTTGACCCAAGTCTCCCTTAATACTCTAGAGATAATCGGATATCTGTATTATCCAAGCAATACTCGCAAGACCCGGAATGCCCAGCCGGTCAAATCTGACAGCACTAACTTGTTTGACGCGAGCCAAACGGGCCGCAGGAAAAAGATTTCTCACGACGGAGACTTGTGCGGATAACGCTGGAGATGGCAATCGCGGAGCTCGCCGTACGGCTCTCTTTCGTCCTTGTACTCCGGGATCGCGCGGCAATTATTGACGGTTTGAATTTAATGCCGTTGCCGGAAGGTACTCGAGTAATTACACGAGTCGAGCCGTAGGCTTCCTTCCCTTCACGAGCGTTGTTCTCGCGACTGTCTCCGACATGCGGCGAGATCGGTACCGATGGCGAAGTTGCAGTATTTACGAGCGTATCGCGCGAATTATACATATACGTGGGCCGCAATTAGTAGGTTTAATCGTAACGGACGATCGAAGGTGGATCGAAGGTGGTTTCGTCTCTCTTTGTCGCGTGATTTATATCGTTCGAACAAAACGGACATCCACTGCGCTCGTTTCACGAACGAGTCGCGAACTCGAGGCCTACTCTACCCTTTCTCTCTCTCTCTCTCTCTCTCTCTCTGTTTCTCTTTCTTCCTCTCTACTTACAACGAGCGGGGCGAAGCGGCTCGGACGGCTGGAAATTATCGCCCGACGATCGTTTTGTACGTACGGCGAGTTTGGAGTGCGATCGATCGATTAGATTCAGCCGCGCACACTTCTATATTGTACTTGGCCGGGTTCTCATTCGGAATTGCGTGTGGGCATTAAGAGTTGCCGATGATCGGGGCCAGGTGCTATGCCCCGATCCGATCCGTTCCCCGCCCTAATGATCGTTGCACCTCCGGTGCAGGAGAAGAAGTAGATCGTCCGGGAAGGGACAGACGGATCGACGGCCGGATCGTGAGGAAAAGGAAGAAAGGATCGGAGAAATGCGTGCAGAAAGAGAGAGAGAGAGAGAGAGAGAGAGAGAGAGAGAGAGAGA